CGCAGTTTGACTTCGTTTTCCGCCACATGTAGTTTGTGAGGCCCAGATTCCCTGCTCGCAGTGGGACACCATTGGTGCACAGCCCCGAACACACAGCTCAATCCACATGCCATTTCACTTCTTTAAAGCATTCTCCCCACATAACCCAGAGCTTATCAGAAAATAACTGGAACCAAGGCTCAGGGGACTCCACCGGCATCCTCACTTGCTGTCTCAGTCAGGATTCCCGTTTGGCTCCTAGCCCTTCCCCAGCCCCTGTCAGAGCCCTGGCCACGACCGATGCAGCTTGGGGGTGCCAGGAGGGGTGAGCCAGGCCCCCGACCCGAGCTCATTCAGCCTGCAGCCCTATGCAGGGAGACATCCTGATCCCTAAGAGCTACAAATAGGGTCATGGTAGCCCAACTCCTACCCACGGCATCACGAGAAGGACGGAGATTGTCCTCATGTCAGGTAATGCCTCACCTAAATCCCAGCTCAGCTGAGCCCTACAGAACTAACGTGTCTCTACATTTGCTTTTAAACTCGCATCCCATTAAATCTCCCAACATGAAGCACACCACGTTTCGTCCTCCCATGTCACAGCCAGGCAGCAGAGCCCCGGCTGCAGCCGGGGAGCATGGGCGGCTTTCCTGGCTGCTAATAAGCACCGGCATCATCTTGGAGTCCAAGTCAGATGCAAACAAGCCTCAACACTCAGCGTGGCATTTAAGAGTGCTTGCCCCCAAACCAGTGTGTGCCCAGGCATTGGCAGGCCCTGGGGACCCTGTCTGCAGCGAGGCTCACGCTCCCTTTGCAAGACGCCGTCTGCAGCTGCTGCAGTCTTGGAAAGTCCTGACTGTCTGGGCATCAGCCAGGCTCTGCACACCATTTTTCTTTTGCTTCTGGAGGAAAAACAGCCAAAATTTATCTGTTGCTCAAGAAATGAAAGCAAAAGGCTAGGAAGTTCACGTTAGCAGCAAACTCTGTCCTCAAAGACTTTGCAGAAACATTTGTGCTTCCCAGTACAAAATGACCGCCTGGCCTTTGCACGGCAGCAAGGTGCTCCTGGCTTAGTTTTGGACCTTCCTTGTACCAAGTGCATCAGGCAGGGCAAGGCCAGGCATCAGGGCAGAGACAACAACGTTTCTTGGTCCTTCGATCTAATGAGATTATTTCCCCCACCCTTCTGGTTTCCTTTTTTCATTTCTGTATTGAAATCACATCATTTCTTCTTTTCTGTTGCTTTGCATAAAAGCTGTTTGTACAGACGTCCTGCTGAGATGGGAGCCAAGGCGTGGGGCAGCCCTGCCTGGGCGAGGAGAGGAGAGGGAGAGGAAAGGGGAAGGGGAAGGGAAAAGGGGGACGGGAGGGGAAGGCCTCTGTGGAGACTGAGCTGGCCTGATCAGTGCAGCACCAAATTCACAGCCCCTGATGATATTGCTCAGCTTTTTGTTTACTTAAATAATATTTAAAAGTCCATGGAAAACACATATGTATTCATGGCATCTTATGTTTAATATTTGCTTCTGAAATGTTTTTGTTTGCAAAATGCAAACCTGCAATTTACAAGCAACTGCCAGTGCAATTTCTATGCTTAAATTTGAAAGTCATAGGCAGAGATTATTTTTCCATCCAAACAGTTTATATCTTAGCAGTAGTTCAGCAAAACAGGGTTGTTTTCAGAAGTCAGATGTTGGATTTTAATGGTGCCCAGGGAATGCTCCTACTTGCAGGTACCACCTGCAGCTTCTCTGCCGTAAGGAAACCCGGTGAACCTTCCAAAAGGCCAGCTCCCCCCTTCCCATGCCCACCCGTTCCCTCCATTTCGCCCCCAGCTCCGCAGCCTCAGGGAGGAAGATGGACAAGCCTCGGGAAGCGAGCAGCCCCCGGCTGTGCAGCTGAACCACAGCAACGCCATGGAAAAGCAAGAATAAATAAGGCTGCTGCAACTCCGGCAGATAAACAAGTGCAAGGGCTGCAGAAACACCAGGCTGCAGCTGCAGAGCCCTTGGGCCGTGGGGAAAGCAGAGGGGGGGCCCGGGGGTCGCTCCTCGCTGCCTGCGGGGCGCATCTGGGGGCATCCCGCAGCCCCCCGGCACCCCGCAGCCCCCCGCAGCCCCCCCAGCCCCATCCCGCCGGGTGCTGCCGGGGACCGGCCCGACCCCCCCCGGCCCCCCGGAGCCACCCCCGGCCCCGGAGCCCCCCGGTCCCCCCTCACCTGCGCTCGGTGCCCGGCGCCGCCCGGCTGCCGGGGCCGTGACTCAGCAGCCGCGGCCCGGAGCTCGCCGAGGCGCCCCGGGGAGGAGCTGGCTGCGCCCCGTGCCGCCGCTCCGCCGGGTATTTGGGTGTTTGGGGTATTTGGGGTGTTTGGGGTCCCTGCCGGGGTGTGTGCGCTCAGCCCTGCCCGGCCGCCCGCCGTCGGGCAGCGGGATGCTGCGGGGGCGCTGGGGAGAAGGAGCGCAGCTCCTCCGGAGGAGGAAAAATTGTCCCCCCCTGCCTGCGGCTGGGATGGGATGGGGATGGGCGGCATCACGGCACCAAACCTCCGCGTCCTGCCGCTCCGCCTCGGAGCCGGGAACAGCCGGGAGCAGCCCGCAGGAGCACAGCCGGGCAGAGCCCCCGCACCCGGCACCCCCGAAACGGCACCCCCTGACCCGGCACCTCCTAACCCAGCACCCCCTAACCCGGCACCCCCTGACCCGGTACCTCCTAACCCAGCACCCCCTAACCCGGCACCCCCTGACCCGGCACCCCTAACCCAGCACCCCCTGACCCGGCACCCCCTGACCCGGCACCCCCTGACCCGGCACCCCCCGCCAGGCAATAGCTGGGGTGCTCCCGGTGCCGCTGCATCAGCCCCGGGGTTTGCTGCCCTTACCCGAGGTCCCCCCCTCCCCGAGACAGCGGGGGACAGAACCGACTCACCCGCTCGGTTGTTTGTTTGTTTGTTTGTTTTCAACCTCATTTTAAAACAAAGACGGGAAAGATTTTGCCGGTGCCACCATAAAGTCCCTTTGGCGATAATTCCCCGTAGCGAGTGCGAGAGGAAGGGCAGGGCTGTGCTGGCAGCGGGGCACTGCTGGCTCTCACCGAGGATGCTCAGCACAGGGAAATCGCAGCCCCAGCCCTGCCGCTGCCCTTCCTGAGAGCCCGGCCCTTGGGGTGCCAGCCCGTGGAGAGCTGGCCCATTACCATGGGGAATGAAGGCTGAGAGCTTCCTTCCAGAAGCACCGAACCAAGAAGTGCCGGAGAGTTCAGCCTGGGACAAGTCAGCAGCGTTTTAGCTTCGTACATATTTCAATTATGTAGGCTTTCACTTCTTGCTTTAATAAAAAAAAAATAAAAAATGAATGCCAATGCCATTTACACTGTGATTCTGTGAAAAAGTTTTTCATGTGTTTCTTTCACTGCTAGTACAACAGAACCACGGCCACAGCCTGCAGACCTGGCTGGGTCCAGGACGGCCCCGGTTACAAACCTTCTGCCCATCAGGGTGCTGAGACAGCAGGACCCAGCCCCAGCCCAGAGGTGCAGAAAGGACGGCTGCACGGCTCTCACGTCCCTCTGCAGCCATGAATACCTTCAAACGATTAAAGCATTAAAGATCAGCTACTGCTGGGTGGGCGCTTATCACTGAGAGCTTCAAATACTCACTCTAATAAAGGGCCTTGACCACACACGCGCTGTGGGGCAGCCCATGGCCAGGAGACGTGGGGTAGAGCAGCAACAAAAAGCTTGGAGACGCCCAGGGGAGCAGCAGGAAGCCTCCGAGGGGTGTCAGTGTCAGTGCACACCACCCAGAGAGCACCAGAAGCCACATGCAGCTGCACCGCCACCACCCTCACACTTACAAGTGGCATTTTGCAACAAGAAAGCCTGGAGGTGCTGGTTGGTGATGAGAGGACTTCCCTGGGAGCACGGTGCAGCAGAGCCCGTGCACACAGCGCTGCTTGGTGGCACCCCAGTGCTGCTCGGTGGCACCCCAGTGCTGTTTGGTGGCACCCCCAGTGCTCTGAGGGGGACCCAGCACATCTCCCACTGCCCCTGACACCGACGTCTGTGGGTCTGACAGCACGCAGAGACACCAGCCCTGGGGCTGGTAGAGGCCCTGGCATGACATGAGGAAAAAGGCATATAGCTGAGAGTTTTAGAATGGATTAAATGGGTGAATTGGTAAGAAAACAGAAATAAAATTTCTGTGGCATGTGGTAGGCTGCAAGGTGAATTAGAAAAGAAAAGTCAATATTTGCCTGAAGTGCCATAAAACCACAATTTAAAATAGCAAGAGCTGCAGCCCCTGGGGAGCTCCTGAGCTCCCTGTGCACCCCGCTGGCAGGCAGAGGGCCCCCAGTGGGCAGAGGGTCCCCAGGGCCCCCATGAAGATGCGCTACCTACAGCAACGCCCCGTTGTGCAGGTGGAGGGGGCCGGGGAGGGGCTGTGACACCTCTGTTTCTTCCTCCTTGGCTCTGTGCATAGTCTGCCTCCCGACTGCCACTGCTTTGCTTTTGTTACATCCTCCAGGTGGAAATAAAAGATCCTGGTGTGAGCTAAAGAGACGTTTCCTTTGATCAAAGTCTGTCTCTGCCTCGTCTCACCCTTCCTCCCTGCCTGCTTCTCTTCATAGCATGTGTTAAGGAGAAAAAACAAAACCAAGGAACCTAATTTTGGTTTGACCCACACTGCTTGGCATTATTATTATTATTTTTTTTTTTTTGCATGTGTACATATCAAAGGATAAAGAAAACAGGTTTTATCTAGGGCCTCTGAGGACACAAGCATCAGTGCCTGGAATCCAGGGGCAATTGCTGTTCCTGGCTCCCCACGAGCTCCCCAAACCATGGTACCTGTGCCAGGGAAGCAGCAGCTGCCCGTGCCACCCGCTCTGCAGGCTCGTAAGGGGCAGCAGGTCCCAGCTGGCTCCCAGGGGCTGGGCAAGGTGTGCCCAGGCCACCTGTGGGATCATCACCCCCGCTGGCTGCATTTAGAGACAGCTTTCCTCCATGGCCAGGGGAGCCTCCCTCGAGGCACAGCGGGCTGCAGCCGCACCCCTGCCCTCTCACACTCATTTTGCACACACACATGCCCTTTTTATAAAAGCAAAACTAAACACAGAAGAGCAGTGACTTTGCTGTAGATTATCTGGTGAATTATGTTTACATGGAGAGCTCAAGGACTGTGGGCAAAAGGCAATGTCTGGAGCACAGGGTTTCTGTGATGAAATTGGCAGATGGAAGAATTGTTATGCTGGGTTTATTTCTCAATCATTTTAGTCAAAAGATAAAATTGCAATTATGATGTAAAAATGAAACTAAAACTTGTTTTAGAGTTGCTTGAGTTTAATTAAAAACAAGAGTCTAAAAGCCCTGGTTTTAAACATTTTCTTCCAGGAGGAACGTCAAGCGGTAAGTTTTTATTTTGTTTGGGTGGAACTTAAAGGGAGAAAGAAGGAAGAGGAAAAACCCATTTGAGATGTTTCAGTTCAGCACATGAACAAAGCCATTTTTTCCCTTTTCTGTTAATGTAGGCTCTCTTTACAGAGACACAGAACCTCAGAGGACGCTGGGCTAGGCGCAGCCTGCCTCCAGCACAGCCCCAGCCCCGCCGGACCCACCGCCATCCTCCTGCTGCCAGCAACAGCCTCGAGGGCAGGACCAAGCCCGTGAAGCTCTGAACAGTTTACGTGCAATTTGAACTTTCAAAAATAAAGTTAAAATGAAATAAAATATTACCTAAAAACTGAGCAGGACAAGGAGAAGACCTCTCCCTGCCCTGGTCAGCTCCAGCAAGATGAGACAGGAGGGGAGAGGAAAGCTTTGACCAAACCAGGACACAGGAATTGTCTTCCCTGCTATTGACAAAGGGACCTGCAAATTTTGTTCCTCTTTGTCCTTTATCTTCTCTGATGACTTAGCAGCAAATGCTGAAAATAAATTTCCATATTTTGTCTTTAAGTTGATATGGTTGAAAATAAAAACCAAACGAAACAACAACAAAACTACCATGTCCCAGAGCTTAACATCAAAGATTTCAGAATCCACATTAAACTTATGAAGAGGCACTGCAAGCCTGCCAAACGTGGTATTTTCAACCAGCTTTGACCCTAGATGCTCCTTTCCAGTCCTCTCCTCGTGAGTGAGTCACCAATTAAGACAGTCACATACTTCTCAAAAGCAGTCTAACGTGAGGCTCTTAAGATTTACTCCACAAAACATTTTCCAAAAATAATGGCCTAGAACTTTTTTGAATTGTGGAAGAAAACTGATTTGAACTTCTGTATGAGAAAAAAAAAACAAACAACAACAACAACAGAAATAAAATAATTAAATGTTTATAACAAATAATAACTACAGCAAAAAGATGTTGCTGTAGTAAATAACTGATTTTACCTGGACATAACATGAAATAATGCCTCAAAATTTGACTCAAAATGAGTCAGACTGGAGCGTGGAACTCTGAGAAAGCTTCAGAGACCCAAGCTTGCACTTTTGTTACTTGAAATGGATGAGTCACATTAATATGAGTTAAGCACCCATGAAATTATGTTCTTGTTCACAACCCTGAGCTGGTGAACCAAAGCTAAGTTTAATGAAAAGTCACTGATAAACCAAAGTTGCCTTTTTTAAAATAGCATCCAGGCTTTTGCACGTTATCACCTACTGTTCCCTAAGTGCTCATGTGGGGAAGTGGTCTGTTGCCCATTTGCCATCTGTTTTCCTACTTGTAAGGAACAGATTTATATCAGACAAGCATATATCTAGGTCCTTTGTGCAAAATAGTAATTATTGCTGTTAACGAGACAGAACATTTTGGGCATATAGTGCAGAACATAGTGGGCAAAAAAAAATCTTTATAAGAAAAGAAGTTTGTCTTTCGTACCATTTGACTTTTCCTAGAGCTCACACTCTTTACCTAAACTCTATGTAAAGCTCATGTGAGTGCGTACCTATATAAAAGAATTGTTTTTCAGTATGGCATTACTTAAACCAACCACAGCAATCCAAAATGTACAAGCCATACCCAACACCAAACTCCTTCGCACATTCTCCAAGCATTCAAACCACTGTTCACAAGAAGGTCAAGGGGCAAGATCTCCCCCGGCACCCCAGGCAGTTGTGCCTCAGGGCTACCTCTACACCTCAGTGGGTCCCAGTCTACATTTTCAAATTCCCAGTGGCTTTGCTCAGAATTAATTCTTTAATTACTCCTGCATCCCACAGGTGGGTGCTGTGCTCGGTGCAGCCAGTTGTGAGCTACAACGCCCAAGGGCTGGCTGGAGGCAGGAGCAAAGTGTCTCACAATTTCCAGGGCAGTTTTTATTAGCAGCTGAATTACCTGCTTTCATTTGGTGCTGGTATACAGTCATGCCATCAAACTGCTCCAGAGATACATGCTGTTGTTCTAAGAAATCCTTGCATTTCTTACTCCTTATCTTTCACTCGTGATTTGGAGATCTGCATGTACATCTGTCTGTGTGCCGACATCCCTTCCCAGGAGGTACATCTACTCCCGAGCTGACTAACACTACTTGATGTCACACTTTGTTGATTGACATGGAAATACAAGCAGAAGGAAAAATATTCATGTCTGCAGTGTCAAATGCAGCTGCTGAGTGACTTATTTTTAAGTGACAGTAATATTTTTAGCAGAAGCACCTATTTTTCTTTAGTTTCATGTTTGTTCACCTCCCCCCAAGTTAATCAGCAACATTTTTCCCCCTCACATACCTGTTAGTGCCCTCACAGTAAAACACACCCAAACACTTCTGACAGCATCAGACCAGAGGGATGGAAAGCAGAGTTACCAGGTCAGAAGGACAACTCATTTAGTTCTGCTACAGGTGCCCACCCCTTGACAGTAAAAATAAACAGGCCGACAGCCAGCGAACAAACACCCTGCCTGTTGGAAGCCATTTCAGGTTTTCCATCAGCGTTCAGTGCTGCTGAAAGCTGCTCCTGCTGAGCATCTCAGCCTTCCAGCTTCAGCTGGTGAAAGGAACTGCTTGCATCTTTTTCTTCCCCGTGAACAAACAGAAAACACCCAGCTGGCATCAGTTCTGATCTAGGGAAGGGAGTGCACCATGGGCTGCAAAGATCATTTCACCCCTCACTCGTGATGCTCCTCCTAAGAGGCTGCTAGAGACACTGCACAGCAAAACCAAGCCCTCCTACAAGGCGCCTGTACCAAACCTGCCTCATTTCCTGCCGTACACACCTCTCTGGTGCTGTAGATGGTGGCAATGGAGTGGAAACATAAAAGAGTAGCTCCTGTAGTTTCCTCCTCCCCAGCAAAATCCAGACTTCCCAACCAGACCACGGAGTCCCAGCTCTCCCGAGCTGCCAGCAGCACTGACTCTGCCCCAGGAGGGCAGGAGCCCAGCACCAACTGCTCACACCAGGCACTCGTTGGGATGCCCTTACCACACACACGCCTTGTAGGACGGCTCCAATGCATCCCCAGCACTCCTCTCCTTCCCATCCTTCACACCTGCGACACTTCCCATTTGCTGGGCTCTTTGCTTCCTCACTACATTTTTACTTAATGAGTGATTACCGCATCTCACCAGGGGCACCTGTGAGCAGCCAGCCTTTGGCTGCTACTGAGCTTGAGCGCATCCTAAGGAGAGTTAGGTGTAATGAGATTTCCAGTGCAAGCCTGGGAGCCAGCAAAGTGCAGAAATGTGGCAGCAGTGGTCTTGTCCTTCTTGTAGCTTCCTCTGACTTTGCTCTGGATGCAAACAAGATGGAAGCAAACTTCCTATCCAACATAAAAAGCATTTCCCAAGAAATAGTTGGGATAATTTGGCCTTACCTGGCATGCAAGAAGGAGTTGTGGTATTAGAAAACAATGAAACGGTGTATTGTGATTAACCAGTTTATTTTGCCAACAAAATCTCCATAAATCACAAAGGATATTTACTGCTATGGACCAAACACTCAGTGCTTGTCAGCTCCTGTCTCTGAACCAGTTCACAACCCAGGTATCACACCATGGCACGCATATCACTGCAATTCTCCAAAGTGACAAAGGCTGTGACTAAAAACTCCTGTCCCTTTCATTGCACATCGTAACTCTACCAGCTACGTTTAGGGATTTTTTTCCTGCATCCATGAAAATCTGAAATTTTGCCTTTGAGGCAAAGAAAAATCTGTGCTTTCATGGTTATACTGGATCTCTAGTATGCTTTCAAGATGCTCATGAGCTTCCTTCGCTGAAATTTATTTTCAGATAGAGTAAGAAAATGTCACATGCAAGAATGAACCCTGTATCTATAAAAAGCCAACATTATGGAAGCGACTGTTCCATTTTTAGAAGAAATGCTAGAGAAGACATCTTTAAGCCATAAAAATAAAAAATGGGTCAATTTAGTGCTCTGGTTTATGTAGGCTCATATATAAAAACTTGTAAGCCGTTAATATTCAAGCTTTATTTTCTATGACAGAATGGGACAAAAGGATTGCTTAATTAATTGCTGTGATGTACTGAAAGATGGCTTAATTTTAAAATATTTCACTTGTGTTAATGTTCATAAGTTGCAGGATTAGCAGTAGTTTATAACTTCATTATTTTATGTGGCACGTACATGGTTACAAATTGTTGCCTTCAAATCAGAGAAAACAAAACTGAATTTATCACTGCGTTACATAATTTTCCTTATTTCTAGAACTCAGATCCTTTTGTTTTGTTGTTCCTTAAAGAAAATGTTACTTCGCATTTTCTCTTCTCAATAGTTTCGGGTTTTTCCTGCAAAACAACAGCACAGCTCCGCTGCGTGATGGGTGCCGCGTGCCGGAGGGACCCACACTTCTGTTACCTGCCCTGACCCAGGCCTCGTTAGGAAAGCCAATTCATGTTGGTGTTGTTGTTGTTCCTCTCCCTGTCTCTTTGAGGGTGGGCTCTCTGTCTGCAGAGCTACCTGCACGGTGCAAGGCAGAGCACCATGCAAGCTACTGCAGCATCAAACATGGGAAAACTTGAGCACGACACCACTGGGATGAGTGGTGCCAATCCCTGACTGTGACCAAAGCAAATCCAGGCTGCTCTGCCATGACAGGGTTTTGCCATACCATAAAATCGTGCCCCGAGTGCCCCATGCAGGCACTCCACGTGCCAGCCAGAAGCCCAGGAGGGGCTCTGGGCCAGGCTGCAGCAGGGCACAGGCAGGTTCAGCCTCTGCTTGGGCCACTTCTGTACCTTTGTGGGATCAATCATATCCCTTGCAACACCGATATAATGAGAAGTAAACAGAATGAAGCGCAGGGTTACACCAAACTAACGTTGCACAGCACCGGGGGGCTTGGAGTGGCAGCGCCCACCCCAGGAATTGGGGCCCGAGGCCATCGGTGCCCTTTCAGCAGCGCCTCGCACAAAACCAGCGCTACGGCTGCAGGAGTTTGCAGCCTTGCACGTATCTGTCATGCTCCCTAAAGCTGGAGCCTATGTGACTTATTGAAATCAATCATTTCTAATGGAGGAAATATTACATTTACAGTTCCCCGTATAATCATGAATCTGCTTCTTATGAAATTACCTCATGATCTGATTTTGTTAAATTCACTTTGCCCTGCCTAAGCGGCACAAGCCCATTTGGAAAATGTTCAGTTATTCTGACGTGGTATCATAAACTTCCAGAGGTACATACACAGAAGAAGGGAAAAAATAGTGGTTTTTTTTTGTTCGTTTTCCTTTTCTCTCCTTTTTTTCTTCTTTTTTTCTTTTTTTACCATTTAGCATCTTGTAAAGCCCTTCCAAAGGGGAAAAAAAATAATAATAAAATAATCACACTGTTGTAAAGCTGCTCAGTAATGTTCAGAACAGCACATTAAATGTTTTCCACATGGTGTTTAAGATACAACATTAATGACTTCGACTCCTTTGGTCAGTTCTGTGGTGCTGCAGCCATACGTTGTGGTGAACATTGCTCTCTTTGATTGGGATGGAAATTCCAATTTGCATATTAATTACATTTACATTGGTTTCTCTGCTATCTGTCATTAATATCTGAGAAATCTGGAAACCTGTGTCTTGCTCAGGATTAGATGGAAGTGGACACATGACCTTTAAATATCAGTATTCTTATAAATAGGAAAAAAACCTAATGTATGCTGTGGGTGCCTGTGCTCCCAGTGAGCAGAGATCTCAGTCATGCATCACACAGCCTTGGACTCTGAGTCCCTTAAACAAGGCCTTTTTGTTCATATATATTTACATTAGATTCGCAGCCTCCATTATATGTTCAAACTTTCTGTTCCTATAGGGGACGACTTCAACTCTAGCAGCAATAATAAAATAAATGCAGAGATTCTCTGACTGGAAATGTCCTACCCAAACATCTGATGTACTTTGGGGTCCCCTTCACATTAGGAGGATCCTAGGAAAGCCTTCCACACTACCTGCAGTTC